TGTGTGTGTGTGTGTGTGTGTGTGTGTGGCTAGACACTGCCCTGACTGCTGCTGTCATTGATATTGATGAGCTCTAGTCGCCGCCGCATCAACACTCTTCCTCTTCCTCCTCCTCTTCTTCTTAAGCTGCTGTTGCGCCAGCAGGCCGCCTCAGTTGATCATCAGCTCTCGACAGTGCTGGCTGGCAGGCTAGAGTGGAAAGCTTTTTGGTTCGACTTGATTTGACTTTGATTTGATTTGCGACTTGTTAAAAACCAACTTCCACTTTAAAGCGGTTGATTAGATTAACATAATTTTTTTATTCAACCTAAAAGTTGGTTTTATAGTTTGCTTCAGCTGTTGTTGTTGTTGTTCTGGTCTACAGTTATTATCTTGAAGGAGTTTATTATTGTTGTGGTATTTTGACATTTCCACCTTTTTGCACAGCTTCTACAGTTTAAAAAAAGCACTTAACAAAGTTTAAAGTTTAAAGCTTCTTTAAAAAAACCTAAAAAAGGGATAAACCTTGATGAGGAAAACTGGCACCAAATTCTGGTCCAAATTTTGTCTGTTTTACTTTAACGTTTTACTCTTTTGTTGCTATCATTATCAACTTTTTCTCCTCATCACCACCATCATCATCACCATGCTCTACCACCACTTTCACCACTTTATCGCCGCCTCTGAACACGCCTCTCCGAATACTACTGATCATCCCCTGCCGGCGCTGACCGCCTCGACGGTGCTGCAATTGACCCTCCTCTACGGCCTCTTCTTCCTCCTCTTCATCTCCATCTTCTCCTTCTTCTTCTTCTACCTCCTCTTCTACCTCTTTAGCAGTCGTTCCAAGATGCAAAATCATTCTGCCGAATCACCATCAGCAGGGACCGGCTCAATCGGCGACCACCAGTGCCTCAGTGCCGCCGAGTGTGCTTGCGAACAACTCTGAGGCGGAGGAGTACGGTTACCTGGACTTTGAGATTGACGAAGAGTACGAACGCGAGGGCGAGGGCGCCTTTGACGACGACGACGACGAAGACGAGGAGGAGGAGGAGGACGATGATGATGATGATGTGCACTTTAATGAAGAGGATTTTGAGGATTTTGAGGATGACGAGGACGACGACGAGGACGACGGTGAACTGATCGACCCGGAGGAGTTGGCACAGCTGGAAAAGCTGTACGGCACGGCGGCGGCTGCCAGTGTTGCAGCGGCAGCATCCTCTGCCAGCTCTTNTGCGGCGGCAGCAGCTTCTGCCAGCTCTTCACGCCGGGCAAGCATGAGCGGACGTCGGGCGAGCACTTCCGCCGGAAGTGGCGGCGGTGGCGGCGGCAGTGGCGGCGGCCGTGGCCATCACCGGAAGTCAGTTTCCTTTTCCGGCCAGGGGCAGCAGCCACGGCCACGGCCGAAGATGACTGCTCAGGAGGCGGCGGCGGCTGCTCAGCAGCAGCGAGCTCTGCTCTACCAGCAACAGCAGCAACAGCAACAACAGCAACAGCAACTTCAACTTCAGCAGCAGCAGCAAATGATGATGATGGGCGGGGCCGGAGGAGTAGGAGTAGGCGTGGTCGGGTACTACACCCCGGGCGGGCCCTTCTTCCAT